GGTCGTCCAGTCAGCATGAAAAAGCACACAGGGATGATCTGAGACCCAAAGATGCACCTGGCATGAACTTTCCAAATAACTTGAAGGGTGGAGGATCCATCACAGGAAGGAAATGCATTCATCTTTAACATGACTGTAAGAGTGAGGATTGTGTCTATCAGACCTATCAGCAGATCATAACGCTTACCTCAAATTACACTCAAACATGAACCAAAAGATAGATATGGTAAAATAACGCAAATGTCAGAGGGAAAAAAAGAGAATGTGGAGTGATAAACTTTTAACATTGCTTTTTACTCCCTGAGCTTCCAAATAAAGAATTAGACATCTCAGATGATTCATGACCATAAAGAGGTTTTATTTCATCTAATCTTTTTTAATGTCCACATAAGAACCCATAAGCAAACACTGGTTTTAAAGCAAGACCCATGCGTCAAATGCAACGGCAGTGGAAAGAGACAAATTAATCTTTATATCTTGTGTGTGGGCCAAAAAAAACAGGCAATTGAGCCAGTAGCATGAGAGATGAAATATTACACTTTATCAGCACTCTAGGAGTGTAGTGTACACACAAACAATAAACACCAAAAGAGCTAAACAATACATTTTACCCACTTAAAGAAAAATTCTTCCAAAATGAAAATTTGCTAAATATTTACTCACCCTCAGGCCATCTAAGATGTAGATTAGTTTGTTCCTTTATTAGAACACATTTGGAGAAATTTAGCATTACATCACTAGCTCGCCAATTAATTCTCTGCAGTGAATGGGTGCCGTCAGAATAAGAGTCCAAACAGCTGATAAACCATCACAATAATCTACAACACAACTCCAGTCCATGTCTTGTGAAGCTAAAAGTTGTTTGTATTAAACAAATCTTTAAGACATTTTAACTTTTTAAACTTCCAGATAAAATCTGAGTCCTCTTTCCACACTGCTTTCTCAGGTTTAAAAAATAATCTCATCTGAATCAGGAGAGAAATATGCACAGATCAAGCACAAGTGAAAACAGTCCAAAATAGTTCTAAACAAATATGTCTGTGGATTTTGATGTGAGATGACAACAAGGGATAGACTTTTTCACTGGAGGAAGCATTATTATTGATTATGGACTGCTTTTTGTTTGTTTGTTTTGGCCAGAAGTGATGGTTTAAAGTTAACACACCTTAATGATGGGTTTGTTTCTTACAAACATGCAGCTTTTCACTTTACAACATGTTAATTGATGGATTAGAGTCGTGTGGATTACTTGTGGATTTTTGTGATGTTTTTATCAGCTGTTTGGACTCTCATTCTGACGGCACCCATTCACTGCAGAGGATCCACATGTGAGCAAGTAATGCAATACTAAATTTCTCCAAATCAGTTCTAATGAAGAAATAAACCCATCTACATCTTGGATGGCCTGAGGTTGAGCAAAGCTCCAGCAAATTTTTCATTTTTGGGCAAACTATTCCTTTAATATTAGAAACTATAAATCATCTAATTTATAAGATGAAACGCGGCAGTTTGAATTTTGGGGTGAACTATCCCTTTAAATGTACTTTGTTTTCACCCTACCACAAGTTGACTTCTCTCCTATTCACCTCCACTGATCTCTGCATGATCACACCATCTGAGCCAAGAGATCTCACAGTTCCGGGTGTGATGGCAAGAGAGTAACAAGCTCATGGGCTCTAAAAGCATCACTTCCCAATCCTCCCATAATCCTATGTCTACTACAAACGCACAGAGTTTTATCAATTTAATACACTTAAGAGGGATTTCTCACATCTCAATAAAAATGCAATGAAAAGCACAGCTTAAAAGTACAGTAGGCTTTAGCTAAGTCACTTTAAAAATAGTCACTGGACAAAACAGGGTTCCGCTCCTCCCAGCTATTGTGTAATTAATAAGCAGGCAGTGGGTGCCAGCAGGACTTTGTATAAGGACAATTAGGGCCATGGTTAAAGGAAAAAGTAAAAACAGATCTCATTGATAACACTGGGGGACAGTGGGATGAGGCTCTGCTCTTCAGAGCCTCACTGGATCTTTGCCACCGTCCCAGAGCCAGGCACAGTGTGGCCGCTGTGGAGTTAAAAATCATGGCTCTACGCCTGTGAAGTCTGGACCTACTTCTGAACCTCCACGTGCTGTAGTCCCTGACAGCGGTCCAGCTGTAATCTCCACAATGACAGAGGATTGCATTAGAGGATTGCAAAAAAAATAAATAAAAAAAATCATCCACATCCTCACCATGGAGATCTGGAAATTTGAGGGGAAGGAAGAGAGGGCACTGTTTTCTGCCTGCCCAACAACTTAATTTCTCCACAATCCAGAGAACAAAAGCAGGCCTCTTGTGGGGTGAACTTTTACCCCTTCCAAACATACTCACTACAGAAGCCACAAATGGTTAAATGGCATGCTTTTAAACCCAGCTTAATGACTAATTTTCATTTCTTAGCTCCAGATACTGTCTGAGATTATATCAAATGTTCTGCAAATATTTTTTTTTTGTTAATACTATTATTATTTTGTTAACCATTTTTCATTTTTATTTATTTATTTATTTATTTACCTTTTTAATTATTCCACTTTTGGTTTTAATGTTGTTAGACCTTGGATTCATGAATTAAAAATGAGAATTTAATGGCTACATTCCATCTATATGCTAGCATATATACACTTTCTTTCTTTTTCTTTTTTTTTTAATAAATGTGAATTGACACCAAGTTGCATGCATTTGGCATGAGAGAACACAGGCTCAACCTGGTCACTGTAATACCTGTAGCACTAACTAAAAAAAATAAAATAATAACAATGGTATGGTGGAAAATCAAATCCTTTCCAGATACAAGTGGGGGCCAATGGTGGATTGAATAGCACATACATTCCTTGCTAATTTGCAAACCCTACCGGCACTGTAGCACGGCACGAAGGGCGGCGTGTGTACTTTGCTGTCAGGAAATTCACCAGATCCATACATTGTTTGGACTTAAGACATAATCCCCTCCATTGATAAAATTATGTTGAATGTGTCTGGCTGGAGTTCTGCAACGAAGGATTTAGCACACATGCTTTTTCCTCTTTCTGGTTTTCCTTTAATTTGCAAATCTTGTAATCTAAGCCTAAAGCTGAGTGAACCAACTTCTAAACCAGCAGTGCTTTATCGGCCAAGACTGCAATCTGTTTTCCATTTGAGTGTCAAGACAGCATCCACACTGGTGGTTGACAAAAGCTGTTATTTCAAAATGATTATATACTAAAAATCGTGTGAGGACTTTGGTAAGTTTATTAATTATTTCAGTAAAGGGGAAAGAACCGAGCACAGTGCAGCTAAAAAATACAGAGCTAGGCTATTTACCAAACACTTCTACTGGAAGCAGCAACACCATTCACCCGGAGGGAGAGGGTTATGGTTTTCAGCACGAGGCATGTTTTCAGCATTAGACCAACCATTGCAGGAGTACAAAGCCAAACTGTCAGAGTCTGTCTCCATGTCAGGGCGGACACGGCGTGTTTGGCTGCATAAGCGCCAGCAGAGCAAAGCTCTAGTCTTGGAACGGCTGGGATGGTGGTCTCCATCAAAGTGTGCTGAAGACAGACTTCCTTATTCTATTTCCTCGGGAGGAAATATTGAGTTAAGATTTGCAGCAGCAGCAGAGTAGTTCGTTTTAAGAGGTGGCAGACGTAGCCGAGGGGAGGAGAGGAGCCAATAACTGATGCGCCCTGCTCCCTCTCACTCCCTAAGGGGGCATATTTCTCACAGATTGCAGTTCGACTCTGTTAGAGGTCCAAGTTTGCAGGTCTGGCCTTCTGGAGCCGACCGGGTCAGTCAGTCAGCAGGGTTTGGCCGTCTCTCTCCAGACCACTCCCTGGCCCCATCAGACCTTTGATGCAGGTTATTATGTATAACAAATTACAGGTTTTCAAATGTACTGATTTGTACCTCATAATATCTAAATGGTGCACACACTGAGGGATGTGGCTTGGACTCCACCGCACGTTAAAACGGGAAAACGCCATAAACCGGACAACGACGGAACATTCCATTAGCACATAGGTTTCACCTCATGAAGAGTTTTACATGTCTCCACTCGTGTTGTGCATGCCAGGAGATGGATACAAGCCTATTATATCCATAAAACTTCACTTGGGGAAAAATGCAAAGATCTTAAATGCCTCTGACCTGCATTCAACCTCAACTGGCCTTTCTCAAATCAAAAATAAAAATACACAGCTGACCAAAAGTCTACACTCTACAAAATTATTTCACAGCCTACACCTTCACAATAACAGCTAAATGCGATAGTTGCAACAACTAATTAATAATACAGTGTTTCTCATACATTGATTTATTTGCGGCGGCCCGCCACAATATCAACACTGACCATCACAAATAGATTTTCCAAAATGCATTGACTATATAAACATGAATAAAAAACTTAAACTTGAATAAACATGAGCTCTGCACGTTTCAAAGTCAAAACGCAGCGCGGGTGTTTTTATATGAATGTATCTTTGAAGGGCACTGACTGTCTTTAGAAAATTTTCGATGTCATTTTCATTTAATCTTTCCTATAACGCCTGATAAAGCAGCGTTTATGAGCACAGCGCTGTTTTGATTACAGCCGTTACCGGCGAAACCGCCATTTCTGCCGCTCCTAAAGGTATAGGTTCTTTGCCATAGGAGCCTGAGAAAAATTATATATATTATATACACACAGACACACATATATAGAAAATCTATGTATATACACTCAGCTGTTCGAAAGTTTGGGTTGGTAAGATTTGTTATATTTTCAAAGAATTCTACCATGTTCACCACAGCTGCATTTTGTTGATCAAAAAGAGAGTAAAATTGTTTTATTATTTTGCCATCAGCCTCAGTTTGTGCTGAAACTGTGCTTGTGTGCAGCTGAAAAACAACCAGACATGACCTGTGAATATGAATGCTCCGGCACCATGTGAGACACTACGCCGAGCTGACAGTGGAAGTGACGCTGTCGTTGTGCACTTACCCCGAAGAGCCCGTGCTCTTGCACACGCCGAGGAGGGGCCGTTTCTCAGCGAAGCTGTCAGTGTTGAGGGAACCTGCAGCCGGAGGGACAGAAAGGGGAACATTAACCACTGACCCACATAAAGAGGGACATTCATTGCCGTTACCGGCGAAACCGCCATTTCTGCCGCTCCTAAAGGTATAGGTTCTTTGCCATAGGAGCCTGAGAAAAATGCTCATTTTAGAAGAATTTTTTTTAA